CGTGGCTCCTCCTCCCTTCCTTCCACCTCAGAGAGGCCTCCCCCAACCAGCACACCTGAAACCTCACCCTTTAATCCACCCTTTAATCGTTTGCCACACCCTTCTCCTGCTTTATTTTCTCCTTGGAGCATGCACGCTGATGTTTTTCTATGTGTTTGGTTATTCATGGCTTATTCCATCAAGACGAGGTCAGCTTCACGAGGGCAGATGGCTGTTTTGTTCACGGCTGGAACCTGGAATGAATCAATGACTGGTCTATTTTATCACTGCAATTCAGCCAGATCCTCGTCCTCAACTTCTTTGTCTGCACACTAAGTGGATTAGACTCAAACGGTGGCTTTCAAACTTAAAAATAAATAAATAAATAAATAAATAAATAAATAAATAAATAAATCATTGGAACCTTCCTCTAAATGAAATTTTAAGAAGAATGGACAATAGCAGGACTATACTTCAAAAAAAAAATGTTTTTTAAATGTTCCTTTATATTTGAGAGACAGAGCCCAGTGGGGGAGGGGCAGAGAAAGAGGGGAAACACAGAATCTGAAGCAGGATCCAGGCTCTGAGCTGTCAGCACAGAGCCTGATGTGGGCTTGAACACACAAACTGAGATCGTGACCTGAGCTGAAGTCGGACACTCAACCGACTAAGCCAGCCAGGCGCCCCCGGGACTATACTTCTTGAAGCTGGGGGGGAGGTCCCAGGGCTTCTGTGTGTGTCCTCTCCCTGTTCCCTGGCTCCTCTCTCCCCTCAACCTCCCCTATTCTCATAGATCGATGGGGTTCTTCGGAACACAGTTTGGAAAACATTGGCCAAAGCAAGGTCCACTTCCAACCAGTTACTTCCTCTCCCAAAGTCTAAATACAATCATCTGTAAAATGAAAAAGTTGGACTCACTGACCTTCCTTCTGTGAAATTCTAGTATTATAAGTCTAATCAGCTCCATAAATGCAGAAACTTATCTAAGAGTCAGGTAGACTCCAAGATAGAAATTGCAAAAACACGTTCAACGTCATGCCTGACAACAGCCAGCAATCATCAGGAGTTTATCAAGCATTTCTTGTTTGACAAGCAGTTTGTGGAGCCACGGGACTCATAAAATCTCAGATTGCTCAACCAGCTAGTTGATGAAACAAGACACAGCCCTCGAAACGAAATCATTAAGACCGTCTACCATCAAGTGCTAGAACAGGTAGACAGGTTCTATGGGCAAATGAGAGATCATGGAAAGAGATCCAGTGGGGTAAAATGGGAAGGTATCTTGGAAGAAGGTGACATCTCTCCAGAGAAAGCCAGAAGGCCATTTTAGGTAGAGGGTGTAATGGCTGCTGTGTTGCACCGTCCGGGCCCTGTAGCAGGACTGAGGTTCTCACACCCTCAGCTGCCCGGAGGGCAGCCTACTGACGGTTCGGAGCTGAGGCCCTCCCAGCCAACAGAAATGGACTTGGCCCGGTGGTTATGGAGTCAGGGTCTTGGTCCCAGGCTGAGACTGAGTTTTCCATCATTGCCATGTCTCCAGTTATGGTCGTTGTGGCAGAGACTGCTAATTGTCCCCACCATCCATTCTCCGCTTCTTCCTTGGGACTTGAACCTACGGTTTTGAGCCAGACACGTGGCTTCCCAGAATAAAGTCTACATTTCCCAGTTTCCTTTGCAGTTGGATGTGGTCACGTGACTAAGTGCAGATCCATGGGATGTAAGGTGACATGATGTGTGTCACCTCCAAGGCCTGCCCTTAAAGAGAGGAGGTGTGCCCTCTGCTTTTCCTTCCCCACCTAGCTGGAATAAAGACATCATGGGGAGCCCTACTGGACTGTAGGCAGCACAATGGAAGGAAGCTTGGTCCTAACTCTGTGGAGCCACCACACTAGCTTTGGGAGGCTGGAGTGCAAAAGGTCACATAAGTGAGCAATGCTCTTCTGTCTTGCTGAAGCCTCTGCTATCCCAACCAAAGCAACTATAGTATCAACCCCTTAGTTGGCAAAGCTCCTTCATAGGAACCACTGTGATTCCCAGAGCCAGGCCGTGGAGGGGGGAAGGCAGGCCTGATTCTCTCCCATTGTACAGCCACTGAGCTAAGCTCAAGGTGGCTGGTCCAAGGTCACTCACTGCTGAATGGATTCCTGGGCCCAGGGGGAAAGGAAGGGTTTAGGCTTTGGGAAAGGAGAGAGTTTAGACCTTGGGATCACACCAGCTTTGGTTTGAACCCCACCTCCCTCCTTACTGAACCCTACCGTGAAAGACCAGGTGAAAACAATGTGTGTGGCAAGCTAGGCTGATGATCTGCCTCTAGGACATTTTGGTTCTCAGAATCCAGAGGGCCTGATGCCTAATCAGGTGCTCTTCCCCATGAGGATTCTGGCGTCTGAGGTAAGGGCTATTCTCTGGCTGTGGGAGCAAGAAGGAAATCAGGATTCACTCTCAGGGGAAGTGATGTCTGAGGTAGGCCTTGGAGGATGGGGAGACGTTACGTGGGGAGAGAAGAAGGGATGGCATTCCTCAGAGAGGGAACAGCTGGAGCAAAGGCACAGGGATATGACTCATCCTGAGACTCCATGCCGTGGGACTGAAAAGAAAAGCTCCCAATCCTAGCCCTGGTCCAGAGTCCCACCCTTTTAATATTTTATTTAGTGGTTTGGGGGTTTGGAGCGGTGGGGGCTGGGGCAGAGGTTGGGGGTTGAGAAGGCAGCATGACAGTGCTTGGAAAATAATTACTTAAAAAAAATTTTTTAAGTTTGTTTATTTGTTTTGAGAGGGAGAGAGAAAGAG